GCGTGCGCGTGCACGTGCGCGTGCGCGTGCGCGTGCGCGTGCGCGTGCGTTTGCGCGTGCGTTTGCGCGTATGCGCGAGTGCGAGCGCGAGCGTGGGTGCGAGTGCGCGAGTGCAAGTGCGAGTGCGTGCGCATGTGTGTGTGTGTGTGTGTGTGTGTGGGCGTGTGTGTGTGTATATATATATATATATATATGTTTCGTATATGTGAAAAGGATGTGTATATATATATATATGTATATGTATAAACGGGCATGTGTGTATATACATGTACATCTATTCTACTCTGTTCTTTCAGTGTGTATATATATATATATATTTATTTATTTATTTATTTATTTATCTATTTATTTATTCGTTTATATTTGTATGTATGTATATATGTATACTATGTTCTAGTATGTCATAGTGTGCTATGTTCTTTAAACTATAGTATATACTCCTACATCAAATATTCAACTATACGATACTGTTAAGATATGCTATATCATGTTTTATTATGCTGTAATATGTTATAGTCCATTTCGTTATAGTATAATGTAGTCCTTTCTGATATTATGTGAAATTGAATGAACTTGTATTATGTTATATTCTAACATACTATACTCTATTCTCGTATATTCTGCCCTATTCTGTTTTTCTATATCCTATCCTATCCTATTCTTTGCCGTTCTACCATAATCTATTATATTTTGTTCTACTCTATTCTGTTCAGTTCTATTCTGCTGTATATACATATATAAATATACATATATATATATATGTGTGTGTGTCTATGGCAAAAATATGTAACATAATAGAATGATACCATATCCTATCATATAATACCATATCAGATCACATAATGTATTATGACGTAATATGTAACATTTACAAATGATATGTACTATAACGATATGCATGACGAATTTCGCGATCGGGAGAATCCCCCAACACCATCTTGATCCTCCTCACGAGGATTGTAACAAGTACTCGCATGTACTCATTGATGGCTCATGCTGACAAAGGCAATGACGACGTTTCGACATGAGCGAGATGGCATCTTAGGAGTGGTGATGACCCGAGTTGTGACAGCCCTGACAACTGTTCACACTGACGAAGATGCTGACCGCTACGATGTTTTCAACAATCAAAGACGACGGCAGCCGCGACGACCACGGCCGATCGGAGTCCGGGGTCTGGTTTCGGCGCAGGTCAAGGCACGTAAGGCGTCTCACGGGGACATGATGTGCAAGGAAGCACCCCGGTTCATTCAGAACATTTTTAGCCAATCCAACTCTACTTGCACGTTTGAAGTCGCACAGCTGCCTAGTGCGAGCCTCGTCTCGACGCACTCCCAAACAACACTTTTCCACCGACGACCGCCACTTTGTGTGCTCCTGAGATGCGCTCCTTGTCTGTATCTCTGAAAGGCACTGTACTTGATTCTTATGCCCCTGCGCGGCAACTTCACAAGGACGAGTTCCAAGTCTGCTGCACTTGACGGCTTGCTGGACTCAGCATGCACATGCCAAACGGACCTTCGTTCATGACCTAGCGCCTGCGCCCTGAAGTCCAAGAGAGTTAAACCCGCTCTTGGGGCCGAGCGTGTCAGCAATGACCTCGTTTTGTCACAAAACGGACAGACTTGGCTCCTTGAGGTTCACTGGCCCTGGCCTCGAGATCTCCACAGCCGCCCATGTCAGTGGGACCGCGCAAAATGATCTGCGGGAGGTGCCAGCTTCAGATCCACTCTCACCCGACGATCTACTTTTCAAAATCCAAGTCGCACAGCAGAGACTCGTCTCAAGAGGGTTCCACTAAAACTTTGATAGAACTCGAGTCTGTGGTTGGTGTTTGACTCGGGGCGGCTGCGGTCGGGTTCCTCTGGTCGTAAACCGCTCCATAAGGATTCAAGAAGAGGTCTGTGAGGAACCAGGGAGGACATCGCAGCGCTCATGATCATGAGAGGGGTAGGTCCGCCTAGGTAGGAGCTTGTCGACTGATCTTTGTGTCCTGCTTGGAATTGCAACGCCATAACCCCCAGTTGGAGCCGGCCTGTGGCACTTTCGGCATGGCCACAGGGCTGTGAGCCAGCGGATGCACTCGCTTCCTGGATTGATTTCGGCACTTCAGTCTTAAAACACATGGGACGCAGTTGCTCCCAACGAGGCTGGACGAGAGCTAGGGGACGGAGGTGGCAGCTGCGCATTGCAAATGAGAGTATGCTGTGTTGCGAACGGATTGACAAGTGCAAGAAACCAATAACAGTTCTGAAACATTTACTGCCATCCTAAAAGCCGTCGATGCTTGTGCTTGCCAACAGCGAGTCGGAAAGGAAGCCTGCGGTGAACGTGAAACGGTTTTAGGCAATCCTCCTGTCTTCAGTTGTGCAGATGTACAGGGCGGCTCCGTTGCCGAATGATATCGGCTCTGCAGTCTGTTGTACTGACCTCTTGAAGGGGGGAAAGTGGGGGGGCTGGCCAGGGAATAAGATGGCGGGGAGAGGAGGTTTGTCGCCCCTCCTGACGCTTAGATCACTGATATATCAGAAGCAAGGGCCCCCTAAACTCTCTTTTGGCCCAAAGCCAAATCTATAAACAGCAACTTCCTAAAGCTCCAAAGTAGCTAGCATTCGTGACAAGCTTCGTGATTCACACAACATGCTTCTTTCTGGCCGAACGATAATGAATCATGGCTCCGGGCTTGCAAACGTCAAGATCTGTACCGCTATCAAACTGAGAAGACAAGCCTAACGCTTCAATTCTTGCGCATCTGACCCGTGTAGCAAGACTGGTGACACGTTGGCTCAAGTACCCCGTCTGCCTACATGAAATGAGCTCTGTTTGGGGAAGTTCGAATCTTGCGATCACCGGCAAGGTGGTCAGCTGGTATCCCGCAAATGATCCAAGGCCATGGCCCAGTCACGGTTACCGGCACTGGCAGCTCGTGGGCAAACTTGTCCTCCGTAGATATGGGACACAAGTTGGGCCTCAGATTTACTCACTGCCTCGGCAATGCTGGAGCTTCAAGCGTACATGCAGGGATACAGCCTTTTCAAGTCCTTCCCCATGCCACGGGGGTGCAGCTTGCTTAGGTCGAAGAACAGCTCGGCTGTATCCCCCCTGCAGCCATCAAGTGACAGCGTCTGCTGGACAGCCGCCTCCGAAGACACAGGCCATGCTGGGTGCAAGACTTCAGCCAGCCCATAACATCGTAGCCTTCAGGCCGAGCAACCACAGCCTTTGTGCCAGTTTCAGGCTCTGTGTGAATCTTATATATATATATATATATATATAGATATAGATATGTATGTATGTATGTATGTATAAATATATGCTAGCCCCCCCCTGGACCAACCTTTCACATGAAGTCTTATAGACTTTCAAAAGTCCAGAACTCACGATACTGTTTTTGAGTTCCAGAAATCTTAAACCTGCCCAAAAATTCCAAAAATTCAAAAAAATCCAAAAATTCCAAAAATTCCACAAA